GTTCCTTGGAGGAAGACAGACAGACAGCCACTGGGGCAGAGGGAAGCCTGGAGTGTGCCTGGGGGGCATCTCCAGGGGAAGGATGGGTGAGGGTGTCAGGGAGATGAGACAGATGGGGAGGGGGTCCCAGAGGAAGGACAGACGGACAGGACTGGGAGTTGAGGCAGGGAGGACAGACAGATGGCAGGGGCGAGTGGCCTTGGGTGAGGGAGGACAGACAGGGCATCCCGGGAATTGGTGGACAGATGGACGGAGGGTCGCAGCTCCGCGGCCCGCGGGGCCGGGGCAGGCCGGGGCGCGCGGTGGCAGCGGCTCGGGAGGCGGAGGCTGAGCGAGCGGCCGTGTTTGTGGAGCTGTCGGCTGCGGTGGAATTATGAAAAATAGCAGGCATCGGAGCCGGCCTTCAGCTTCGATTAGGGGAGATGGGACATGACAGGTGCGATCAATACGCAGCCGTTCTATAAAGTGTCAAGTAATGAATCAATTTCGACTAAATTTTCCATTTTTCAGAGGCCGTTCTCCGAGAGAAGAATATCCTCTTTTGTAAAGATATTATTATCGATTTCGGCGGCAATTTGACATCAGGGGTAGTTAATTCCACTCAGAATAAAATTGAAAACACTTGAGAGAGAAAAGAGAGAGGCGAAGAGTGAGACAGAGAGGGAGAGAGGGGGAGGGAGGGAGGGGCTGGGAGGGAAAGAGATGGATGGACAGAGAGACAGAGACGGGGAGATAGAGAGGGTCCCCGAGAGCGGGGCAGGGATGGGGAGGGAGGGGGAGAGGGAGGCAGAAACTTGGAGGCAGAGAAGCCTGGAGTTACAGGGAGACAGAGACATTCAGAGATGCAGAGATAGAGACAAGAGATAAGACAGACAGCAGAGACCTCGGATTCTGTGCAGCACAGCGATAAATGAGTGTCTCAGAGAGAAAAACCGGGATGTGAGCGACTTGCCACAGAGGTGCAAAGAAATGGACAAAGACAAATTCAGAGAAGGAGACAGATGGAGAGGAGGCAGGAGACATGGACTTTCCGAGAGACAGGAGAGCGAGAGGCTAAGAAGGAGAAACTGAGGGGGCGCTGGGAGGACACTGAGGGGTGCCCGAGCCCCACAAGAGAGAAAGGCCAGAGGAAAGGGGTGGGGACAGAGAGAGGGCTAAGAGAGGGAGGGAGGAGGCCCCAGGGCCCCAGGGGAAGGGCAGAGGCCCAGGGGTCAGAGCTGAGGACAAATGCAGAGTTGGGGGTCTGGACAGACCCTCCTGCCCTGCCTGTTCTGTTCCCCCAAAGTCATGTGCTGTGTGTGTGTGTGTGCCTGTCTGTCTGTCTGTCTGTCAGCTTCTCTGCAGGGTAAGGGGTCTGTCTGATCCAGGGCTGCTGGACCCTGACTGGGCTGGTCGTCTGTGTATGTGTGTGTGTCCCCGTTCACACACGTGCACAAGTTGTGGGGCCCTGGCCTGGCAGCCCCATGGGCCTCAGCAGCAGCCAGTGGTGACAACATTTCTGGTTAGTGCCTGTCAGTCCCCCAGCTGAAATCTCCATTTATCCCTGAGCAGGTCACAGGCTGCCTGGGAAGAGGAGAGAGGGGGAGGGAGGCTCCAGAAGAGGACTCCTGGATCTGAGGGAGGAGGACTGGGGCCTGGACCCAGGGTCTGAGGGAGGAGGACTGGGGCCTGGAGGAGGACTGGGGCCTGGAGGCGGCCTGAATGGCGTAGTCTGCACATAAGCAAAGGTGGTGGCAGGAAAGCCCCTCAAGCGCTCTCTGCCTCCCCAGCAGAAAAGCCTGTACCTGCTGCCCCCTAGCGGTCATGGAGATCAGGCCAGTCAAGGGACAAGGAGCTGGCAGGGTCAAGGAACCCCAGGAGGGAATTCAGAGGCACTGACCCAAGTTGGAGCAGATACCAGCAGCCCGGGATGGAGAGAGGAGAGGGATGGGGAGAAATGGACAGAGAGACAGGAAGACACAGGGACGGAGATGAACAGGGAACAGAGAAGTGGGGAAAAGAGGGTCAGACAGAAGATTGAGAGCGTGAGTGAAAAGGAAGAGAGACAGACAAGGGCATGGAGCCTGGACCGACATAAGGAGGGAGGGGAAATCTCGGGGCAGAGAGTAAGGGCAGTAGAGGTGGCTGACAGGGGCAGGGCTAGGGCGACTCAGAGCAGACAGTGTATGAGACAGAGACGGGAGTCACGTGGACAGGACAGTTAGGGTGACAGAGGGTTAAGGGATAGGTCTAGAAAAGAAGACAGAGAAAAACCTAGGAATCAGGACAGACAGGGATCTGGAGGTACAGGAGGACAGAGAAGGGCAGACATGGAGAGAGAGATGGACCAACCCAAAAAGAAAGGCAAGAGGTGGAGCCAGGCGGATACAGAGGGACAGGTAGAATAAGGCAGGTGGGCGGAGGGACACAGAGAAGCCAGGGCCAAAGCCAAGTGCACACCCAGAGATTAAGCAGGGAGCCATATGTAGGGTGAGGCCTGACCTGGATGGAGCAGGCTGGGCCTGGCAGAGCTCCAGGCTGAGGGGCTCCTGCGACAAGGCTTGGGAGAAGAGCTGGGGACAGGGCTCCTCGGGCTGGGGTCTCCGCTTACCACCCCCGCCCAATACCCCCCCCCCACCCGGCGGGCTGCCCGGCGGAGGCGACAGATTGAGCGATGAGACGCATTACGCACTTAATCCGCCTGATTGAATGTTTTGCTTTCGCCCAAATTGAAACATTAAACAACACGGGACGAGAAGAGGCGGCCGCAAATCACTCATGAAAGATTCATCTTCTCCCCGGCAGCCGCCACTGCCCGCCTCCGCTGCTGCCCGCCCCAGTCGGGAAGCCTGGGGTGGGGGTGGCGCTGGGGCAGCACCCCTGCCCACTGTGCTGAGCCCAGCCCTCACCCCCAGGGAAGTCCTGTCTTCTACCCACAGGTGGTCTCCAAGAAGGGCACCCCAGCTTCCTGGCCAGTCTGTGCAGCATGACCTTGGTGCTGTCCCTGCCTCCCTCTGGATGACGAGGCCTTGCGGCCCTCTCTGGGTCCACCTCTCTAGCTCTTTGCCTGGACCAGTCTGAGACTTTGGGGGCATTGAAGGGACCCAACGTTGGGGGGTGAGGTCTGGGAGCCTCCTCCCTGTGCAGGGGGTCTTTTGGGGTTATGGAACCAGGAGTAGGGGTGGTACCTGGAGAGTGAGTCAGAGGGAGGTGACCACCATGTCAGGATGAGTGTGACTGGGGACAGGAAGTGTGCGTCCTTTGTGCTCAGCTCAGTGTGTCTGTCTGCATGGATGACTGTGTACTTCTGTCTGTCTTTCCATGCCTTTGTGAGTGTAACTTGCTTGGTGACTGCCTGTGTCTTTACCTCTGTGCCTTTGTGATCTTGTGTGACTGTAACTCTGGCCTGTGGGTATCTGTTTTTCTGCCTGTGTCTCACTGTCTTTCTTTTTTCTTTTTTTTTAGTGCTGGGGCTGGAACCCAGGGCCTTGTGCGTGCTAACAAGTGCTCTACCACTGAGCTACACCCCCAGTCCTTTTTTTTTTCTTCTTGAGACAGGTTCCAAGTTGCCCTGGCTGGCCTCAAGCTTGCAGTCCTCCTGCCTCAGCCTCCTGATTAGCTGGGATTACTGGCGTGTGCTACCTCGCCTGCTTGAGTGTCAGTTCCTCTCTGTACATCTTGTATGTAGGTTTTTATGTGGTGTCTGTATCAATGAGACTTTCAGGGTGTGATCGTGTACAACTGCGCATGCCTGGGTCTGTCAGTCTGTCTGGGTTTATGTCTCTGCATTGCTTGCTTGGGTCTATTTAGAGGTCTCTTTAACTACCTTGTCAGAGTCTGTGCATCTGGCTGTCTCTGGGTCCCTGTGTGTGTGTGTCTCTGACTCTTCCTCTGTGTCTGGCTGAGGGGGGGCATCTGCTGGTGCCAGAGAACGAGTCACCAGAAGGCCAGGGTAGGAAGAAGCTGGGGAGAGAGGAGGTGAGAAAGACAGAGAGAAAGACAGGACAGCAGTGACGCCTGAGAGCCTGGGAGCAGGGAGCAAGCGCGAGGCAGCTGGGGGGGGCATCGTGGGCGCCACGGCCGGAGCGGGTGATCAATATTCGATTTAGGTTTTAATTCCGGGGCTTTCGGAGCCTGTCAGCCCTGATGTATGAGCTCACACCGGGGCCGCCCAGCCAGCCACCCCACTGATGCCCATGGCCTAGTGGCCTGTCCTGGCCCCAGCTCCCTTGCCCTGCAGGCTGTGGGCTGTGGTAGAGGGGGAAGGGGATGGGCCACATGAACTTGAACTTGGAGGCTTACTCATCTAGTGTATCTGCAGCTGATGCTCCTGACTTCCCCAGGCCAACACTGGGAGGGAGACAGAAGGGGCCCCACAGGTGGAGTCCCATACCCTGCTGTGGATACTGGTCACCCACATCCAGACACATGCATGTCCATGCAGGTACCTCTGGGCTCACATTCCTATACACACACAAACCCCACACTACGCCAACATGTGTCCACATACACTGCTGGGCTTGTGTGTGTGTCTCAATACCCCAGATTCAATCACACATGTGCACACACAAATTGTGACACATATATCCTCTGACATGTGTCCACATACAAACTCTGACATACAGTCATGGGTCCACTCAAAACCCAGAGCACACACAAAGGCTCCATGTCAATGGGAGGTAAGAACAATGGCAAGAGAAGCCAGAGACAGTGACAGCATACCCGTAGAAAGACAGACATAGTGACAGAGACCTAAGAGACACAGACTGATAAAGAACAAAAGAGAAAACTCAAAAAGTAGGGGCGGAAGCAAAGACAGCAGCAGCGAGGGGAAGCTGGGAGGACACTGGGGCAGGGTGGTGGACAGGGATCAGCCCGCAGGGAGAGGGGGAGCCCTCCCTTCTCAGATGCTCCCCCAAACCCTGTCTCTCTCTCAGGAAGATGGATCCACCGCCCTCCCTGATGACAATGCTGTCTGCGCAAACTTTAATTAACACTTTGAGTTAATTAGTTCGAGATCATTTAGGAGTAAAATGTTTTTATTAGGGAGGCTGCGAGCCTGTTGATGGATGGGGCGCGATTCGCTCTTCCGCCTGCGGGGACAGCCGGTAAACAGAAATCAATCAGGGGCTCCCAACCCGGCTCCCCCGCCCCGCGCCCGGGACCAGCTCCCGGCCTGGGGCCCAGGAGTCCCGGCTCCGGCCTCCCCTTCCCCGCAGGACCAGCCCGCCTCCCTCGGACCCGGGGCCCAGGCCCCAGCCTCCTGCCCAGACCCCGAATTCTTGAGCCCAGCTTTGTCCCCCTCGCGCCACGACCCAGACCCCGACCCTGGGCTGCAGCCCGCTCCCACGCGCGTCCCGGGCTCTAGGGCCCAGGGCTGAGGACGACCTGTCGGGGCTCCGGGTTGCCCGGGCTCCCTCGGGCTCTCAGAACTTTCTCTCGCCGTCTGCGGGCCTCGCCGGGTCGGGCCGCCCCTCCCGCCGGGTGACGGCTTCATCAGGTGTCCGCGGCGGGGGCGGGGCGGCCGCGGGCGCGGGGCGGCCGGGGCGGGGGCGGGGGTTCCGGGGCCGATAAATCTTCATCAGGCGGCGGCGGGGGGGCCATTAGGCGCTAATGGGAAGATGGAGGGGCCTGTCGGCCGCGCGGGCCGGGCCTCATTTGTCCTGCTTCCCGCTCCATTGGCCGCCGCCCCCGCCCCGCCCCTCCCCCGCCGCCACCGCGCGCCCCATTTCCGCTCCGAACCTTAGCGAGGGACTTGGTGGGGGCACCTAAAGGGAAACCGGGGTGGGGGGAGTTGCAGGAAGGTGACTTGGAGAAGTTAGAACTGGTTGAGGGGCCGAGGGCGCGGAGAGGAAGGGCTGGGGGCGCCCAGTTTAGAACGTAGGCGACTCTGATAGAACGCAGGCGGAGGGGGCAGAAGCCGAGGAAAGTAAACAGAACTCCCTGGAGAAAAGGGAACTCGGAGGGGGCTACCGAAGGAGACGGAGGTTCTGGAATGAGGGTGGGGCCTGGAACACGGTGGGGGGCGCAGGATCGGGATTGGGGAGAGGGTCTGCTCGTCCGCCAGCCTCTGGGGCGGGGGCCGGGAAGGCGAGCCCGCAGCGTCCCTCGAGGCAGAGGCGCGGCCCCCGCCAGTCGCCGCCGCCGCTGGCTCCCGGACTCTCGCCCCCCGCGCGTCCACTCTGATTTCTCTGCCCATTTTTCTTCCTCTCCTGTCACTCCGGCGCTCGCCCTCCCGCCGCCGGCTGCCCCGCCGCGCTCCGCTTCCCGCGGGAACCTCCGCTGCAGCCAGCCCCCGGGGCCGCAGCCCTGCTCCCTGCCGCAGCGTCCCCGCCTCACCCGTGCGGACCCCCTCAATCCCCACCAGGATCACGAATTACAGATGTGTGATCCCCCAGAGTCACCCCCAAATTCCAGTTCCCCTGATGACCCCCAGGAGGAGCCTGGCCTTGGACAGTCCAGGAGCTAGAATCCTCCCACACCATACCCAGGCGCAAGTACTAGGTCTCAAGGACTTCTGGGTCCTAGTATCAGATTTTCCTAAAGGAATCATCTGTCTAGGTACCCACAGACCAGACATGTGTACCCCCACTGTCCCTCAGAAGTCCCGTGGATAGGAAAACCCGGGATCCTGTCAGATCAGGCCTGGGCTTCTAGTTGGGTCGACTGGAGTCACATGAATGTCACCCAGACTCAGAAACCCCAAGGACTGTATCCCCAGCCTGCCCCAGGTACCCTCAGATGAAGATTCTGGACTCTGGTTCCATTCATCCCAAAACAAGGTCTCCAGGCCGAGACACCCATAGGATACCGGAAATGGTCTTTACTCAGCCATTTCAACATAAGTACAAGTAACTTCATGAGTCACTCCTAACCTAGGCAGTAACCCCAAATTAGGCATCAGATGCCCCAAAGTTGGCACTGCAAAACTAGGTTCCTCATTGAACTCTAAAGGGACATCAAGACCTCAAGATAAATAGTCCATGTTCTGGACAGATGGGCCCCATCACCCCACTTAGTATGTGACCTCTGTTCTCAAACTAGAAAATGGGATTGAAACTCAGTCACCCTTAAACTGAGTGACCTCAAGCTTGACAACTGGATGTCCAGACAATTCAAAATTGGAATTGGGTCCCACCCAGCTTAAGTCTCCCCAAAACTAGACATCTGGCTCCCAGTCTGTTTCTACTAAACCAAGATCAGAAACCCCCCAGCAAGCCTCCCTCACACTAGTCATCTAGGTCTTTTTTTTTTTTTTAATACTTTGGGGTTTTTAAAATTATAGTTGGACACAGTACCTTAAAAAAATAAAATTATTTTTATGTGGTGCTGAGGATCGAACCCAGCACCCCACACATGCTAGGTGAGCACGCAACCACTGAGCCATTACCCCAGCCCCCATATCTGAGATTTTTTAAAATTTTATTTTTATTTTTTAGTTGTAGATGGACACAATCTTTATTTTATTTATTTATTTATTTATTTGGTGCTGGGGATTGAACCCAGGGCCTTGTGCTTGTAAGACAAGCACTCTACCAACTAAGATATATACCCAGCCCCATATTTTATTTATTTATTTTTATGTGGTGCTGAGGATCGAACCCAAGGCCTCCCACATAGGAGGCAAACGCTCTACCGCTGAGCCATAACCCCAGCCTCACATCTGAGCTTTTACCTCAGTGATTCCTACTCATGAATTATGAACTTAATAAATTACCCCAAAATTCAGCATCTACCTTCCCAACTCACCCCCCCCCAAAAAAAAATTTAGGACTCAGTGGCACTGAAGCTCAGTGATCGTCAGACTACCCCACTGGTCTCCAAACTTCAGGTACCCCATTAGAATCCCATTAGAACCTGATGGTAACCCAACAAAGTAGGCAAGTCAAAAGAACTCCCAAATCAGGTGTTGGTCATCCTAATCCAAATTTTAGGAACCCTATAATCAGACCCACTAATCCCCAACACTAAAAAAAAAATATCAGAGACCCAAACTTGGAATTTAGGGTGCCTGCCTCAGACACCCCTGTAGCAGCTATGTTGGCCTCCTCAAAAGTTATGAACGTGTCTTAACCCTGGAATCTGCCAATATGACCTTATTAGGAAAAGGTCTCTTCTGGCTTGGCTCTGGAATATCCCCCAAGATCGCATGTACTAAAGGCTTGGTCCCCAATGAGAACATGTCCAGAGGCCGGGCTTTGGGAAGGGAGTTGGATCACGAGGGCTCTGACCTCATCGGTGATTAATCCATTGATAGCAATTTTCTATGTTAGTCAGCTTTTCATGGCTGTGACCAAAATACCTGAAAAGAACAACTTAAAGGAGGAAGGGTTTATTTTGGCTCCTGATTTCAGCCCTTGGTCGGCTGCTCCAAGGCAGAAACACAGTGGCAGAGGGGCATGGCAGAGGAAAACTGCCAGGTTCAGGGAGCTGGGAAGCAAAGTGGGAGAAGGGAGAGACCCTGATGTGTGTCCTGATAAGGAACAGAGGAGAGGGACTGGGAGAAGAGCAGAAGGCCACGTGACAATGAGGCTAGAGTGGGTCAGCCACAGGCGCAGGGATGCCTGGAGCCACCGGAAGCTGGAAGAGGCAAGGAAAGAGCCTGCCCTGGAGCTTTCTGATGGATGCAGCCTGGCTCACATCTTGATTTTGGACTTCAAGCCTCCAGAACTTTGAAGGAATGAACTTCTGCTGTGTTAACCCACCGAGATTATTATAGCAGCCACAGGAAACTAATATACCCCCCCAAAGCATGCCTTGGTACCCCTAGACTGAGTCAGTGACCCACAGAGCTAAGGATGTGGACCTCCCAAAGGCACCTGCCCCAAATGCTTCAATTCCCCAAACCAGGCTCTGGGTCTCTCAGTCCATTTGTCCACCATTTTGGCATCAAGGACCCCACAGTTTCCCTAGTATTTGTAAACTAGATTCAGGGACTCATTCAGTCTGAAAGCATGTATGTAGACTCATAGCCTCTGCCACAACTAAAATATGCATCAGGACGACCCCACCGTGGCCTCCAACTACCCATCACTCAGTCCCAGCAACAGACACCTGATTGAGACACTATAAAGGAGGCAACTGGGCCCCGAGTCTCGGCACCCCTTGTTATGGTTTGGATCTGAAATGTCCCCCAAAGGCTCATGTGCTAAAAGCTTGGTCCCCAAGGCAGCAGTGTTTGGAGGCAGGCGACGAGATTCGGAGGGCTCTGATCTCATCAATGGATTAATCCTTTGATGGGTTTATAATTTGATGGACTATTGGGAGGTGATGGAAATTTACAAGATGAGGCCTGGTGGAATTAGTTGGAGCAGTAGGTCCTTGGGGGTGTGCTTTTTAAGACTATATCTTGTCCCAAGCTCATTCCACATTCATTCTTTCTCTCTCCCTGAAATGAACTGCTTTCCTCCACCACACCCTTCTGCCATGATGTACTGCCTCACCACAGATCCTGAAATAGCACTCACTGACCATGGACCAAAACCTCCGGAACTGTGAGTCAAAATAATGCTCCTTTAAGTTGATTTTGTCAGTTATTTTGTCAACAGTGATGGAAAGCTAACACACTTCTAAAGTAAACCTTCAGTCCCCAGTTGTTGGTGAACCTAACCCTTAGCATCTGAGCCCTGAGGCCAGTTGCCCCTGGAATTAAGTATCAAGACCCCAAATTAAGCCTCTCTAATCCAGACATCTGGTCTCCCCAGGAATTGAGGCTCCATGAGGGTGTCTAGGCATCTAGGTGATTAGCCTCAGACACAGTCACACTAGGCAACAGCTCCCCAAATTCATCCTTCCTGAACTGGGTTTGAGGAACCCCACCAACAGTCAAACCTTAGCAACTGAAGGCTTGGCGAGCCCCATATTGTACTGCAGAGCGGGTCATCAATAACTCCCAAACAAGGCATCTATCACCCCCTCTCAGAGGTATACCCTAATCCCTCGAAAGAATGAGAGGCACCCTTAGGAGGTACCTGCTGACACAGTTAGCCCAGCCTGACGCTAGACCTACCAAAGTGGCCACCAACGAATTTAACAGCTGGCTTTTGGACTCCCAGTTGGCCAACCCAACCTCAACACCCAGATAGCCCATGCTAGGCAACCCTAAGTCAGACAGCTTTTTGCCTCAGCTACCTACAAACTTAGAGCTTCTTGGAGTTTAAGCCCTAAATCCAATCACCCCAACGGAGGTCTCTGGGCTCATAGTCTTGGGACTCCCCCATATGGACAGTTCAGGAAGTCACTTCTACTTTGGGTTTAGGGCCCCAGTCTTGGTCAGGTCCACAGTCTTTCTCAACCCTAAACTAACCTTGAGGGACCCACAATCAGTGGAGCCAGAGAGTCACTCAAACTAGGCCTCTCGACTCTATAGCTAGTCACCTACAAACTCTGCATCTCACCTCCCAGGCTCAGACACCCCCCAAACCAGGGCCTAGGACCCTTAGGCTCAGTGATCTCCAAACCAGGCATGAGAGCCCCAGACCTTAGTCAGCCCTAAAGCAATCAATAGGACCCCAGAATCAACACACAGCCGCCAAACTTGGTCATCGCCAAATCTCAAAACCAGGCATTTTAAATTTGACATCTGAGTCTCTGAACTTACTCCAAACTTGGCAGGTGGAACTCCACAGAAAGTCACTTCTGCTCTAGACCTCGAGGCTCCC